CAATCAAAACACGAAACGCCTGCGAACAGGCTATGATATTTACAATATCCAATCAGAACACGTAGTCTATCGAACCTATAGTCAGCAGCCAATCAACTCTTTCCTTCCATTTTTGAAAGTTATGTGTGGAATGTGAACCCGAAAACTACGCCAATTTCAGCAGAGGGTTATTCAAAACAGGCGAAAATAAATACCCTCTGGCTCCAGGGTAAGTAAATAGCTACAGTCAGCTAAATATAGTATTTTGTTTAACTCCCTCCAAAAGAAAAGGAGCATTTTGGTTAATTTTATCAATACGCCATAGCTTTATTAGTTCTGTCTAAACTGTCCTCCTTGGACGTATCAAAGTGATAGTTATTCATTACTGCTCAATAATGTTACCACATGAGCTAACTAAACTAAATTTATCCATATATACTGGATATAGCTCTATATAGCTAATGGTTCTGTTCAAACTGTTCTCCTTACTCCTTAGAAATACAGTTATATATGTCGTATCCCATACTGCTCCATCGCTACAACTACAGTAAAATTAATACATAAATATATAAAATATAACTTTCTGACATGTTTTCGCTCGCTACACTAGTACATGAATATAGTCCCCCCCAAAATAAACGTTTCCCCAGATAGATTCACAACCTCAGGAGTCAGGCCACTTTTCGCGCGGTTTAATTTCAGTAAATACATTTTTGATACTCGACTAACTTCTACAGTTTACAGGATAGTTTTTGAATAAATTTATTACGTATAGGACTGTTTATCTTTCTGCAAGCTTTCCTTTGGCATGAATTATTTGTAATTTTAAAATTATATCCTACAAAATATCTCAATTTTTGCCGACGTCTAAGCAAAACAAAGGCAAAGCCGATTTGAGCACATAATCATATAGTTCGGACATTAAAACAATCTACGAAACACCAGAGAAAAATGAAGTTTGTAAAATGGTTACCAATGCACGATAAGACAATTGCAACCAAAATGAAGTGATAATCACCTTTGCTATCTCATGATCAAGATCTTTACCAATCATGAACATCAACTTGCACATGCTTTCCAAACTTTCTTCGTCGCCAGCACGAAATGCAAGTATTCTATATATATAGCCATGTATAATGTTCTCTCTTAGCAACTGAAATAAAGAGGTTAAATTGCGTCTTATTCTTCTGTTATTACAAAAGGAAACTAAATTACACCACTTGTATTAGATAGCTTTAACATGCAAAAACAACAACAACAATCAGCTAGCTCAGCAAGTTTCTCTCGTATGCGGATAGTTTTTGTGAGGATTTGACCTCTCGAGGCATTAAGGAAAATATCTATCCTGTTTGATATTTTTCACCTCGCAAGGAAAAAATCTCAGCGTCTGCGGATGTTGTGAGCTAAGTGCTGAGCTGTTTGAATCAATTAGCCAATGAGAAACCATAGTTTCTTCATGTGACTAGGAACAAAATAGAGGAAAATGCAAATGATTTTGTCAATTATATGGTTGTTGAGTAGTTTTCCCAACGTGTGCGGTGAAAATACATAGCTGAGCTAGCTGCCCCGCGAGGCGGTTAGCTCAGCAAGTTGCTCTCGTGTGCGGCGGGCTTAACGCAGTAAACCCGAACAACACTATAACTGCATTTATCCTGCATGCATAGCTTGAGGTACAGTACTGGAAATACTCTTTTCACATTCCATTGACGCAGTCACACTATCTGCATCAACACTCTATGGTGACAAACAGTGGTCATACAAATTAACACACCTTCAGTTTAAATAATTCTCCAATAAACTTGATATTTCCCAACATCCGTCCTTTATTCTTCGCTAGAGCTTCGTCCGTTCCCTCTCTTTTAACCTTTATCTCTTCTTCCTGAGAAAAACGAAGACCACTCGATGTTAACGTTATTCTATTGACGTAAAGTTTTCTAAAGCAAAACGCCTGTGGCTATATGAAGAGAATAAACAGAAGCCCATATTGCTGTGTTTAATAGCCTATTGCTCCGGATTAACAAGTTGTTTTATTGTTCAATTATTATACAGTTAGTCGACAACAACGTCGAAATATCAAATTCGCTGATCAACTCACAGGTTGATATCTATTTACTGCATAGCATAGAACAATCGAACAAATATAAAGTCAATGCGTTAAAAGGTACAACCCACGAGAACCTACCTTAATTTATTTGGAGAAATAAAACCATCAATCAATTATTAATATACTGTACAGGGTGTCCCCCAAAAAAGTACCCTCTATAGAAATTGTCCTATTGTTATAATTTGAATGCCTGAGCACTATGCTGAACACAAGAGTGCGTAAACACAATTGAATTGAATTTTTAATTACCAGGCGCATGAAATCCTATGCTTAACAACGATAGGATAATTTCTATAGAGGGTACTTTTTGGGGGACACCCTGTATATTGTTGATAACAACCGCCAATATGAACCGACGGGCGTAGCTCTGTAATCTGTATAAAACTTATCATGTTTTACAGAATTTATTCCTACCGATAATCCTTTCAATTGATTATGTTTCTCCAACAACGCTTGTTCGTCCACGTTATATTTTTCAAATTCCTTCTGACATCGATTCAGTAACAACTTACGGAACGACACATCTACTCCTTCGGCATCAGCAACTTTTATCTATTCATAAATATCAAAATTATTCATTGTTGTTTTGCTCATTAACAATTATTAAAAATCTCATTAATAATTCATGTTGAAAATACAAAAGAAATGAATGTTTAATCAATATTTGTAAATCGGATAAAGATTTGTCCTGATTTACATAAACTTCAGCTTTGATATTCTCGGTTTAGACAGTGTTTATTTTTAAAATTACTTCGCCAATGAACTCATAAGATGGGTCGTTTTTTAAGCACGTTAAAACATTCGCAACCGATCTTTATCTAACCTGCGACCCCAAGAACGCCTGATCGCAGGTTAATCTTTATCTGATATACAAAGTTTGTATGTCAGATAAAGATCGGCTGCTCATGTTTTAACTACAGGGTGTATAAAAAAAACGGAGTCCTCACATGAAGTGTAAATTTCAAAGCGAATATGAAAGTTAGACGTTTATACTTGCATTCTTTCGAAATCGCGATCTTTCGGCTATTTTATATACTTTATTTTATAAAATTTGGAGTTATTGCTGGCAAGCTGTGTCAATTTAAGTAAGTGCAATTGGAAAATTAAAAAACGTAGATGTCTTGAATTCACAATCTGTTTAAACGTTCCAAAAAATAAGTTGGAAGTACACAGTTACTCAACGTGGCCCCCACTTCTAAGTTCACACAAGTTCGTTCTTTGTCTCATATCCAAGACAACTCTTCGGATAAATTCTGGGTTTTCTTGTAAGACATTTGCCTCATTCTGTATCCTTTGACGAAGGTTGTTGATATCTTGTGGTGGTGTATGGTACACTTTGTCCTTAAGGTACCCCCAAAGGAAATAATCGCACGGTGTCAGATCGGGTGAGCGGGGCGGCCATTCGATAGGAAGATGTAAAGCAATAACACGATTGATCTGCAAAAATTTCTGAAAGTCTTTCTCGTACAGCGATCAGTTGGTGTGCTGGGGCGCCGTCTTGAGCCCACCAAAGTCGCTGAAAATTGCCGTCTTGATATTGATTGTTAAACAATTCAATAAGTTGCTGGATAATGTAATCATTCAGTAGGTCAAGATAAGCATTACCACCAACATTACGAGCAAAAAAGAAAGGTCCGAGGATAGCTCCATTTCCACAGATACCCATCCATACAGTTACCTTTCGTCTTTCATCGCGCCTGTCAAAATTAAAGTCTGGCGGATTACCTCTTGGTGCATACTGTCTGACATTATGGGAATTTACTTCTCCATTCATACAAAACGCTGCTTCATCGCCGATAACAAAATTTGCTAGAAAACGATGATTTCGTTGGTGGTTTGAGAACCACCGACAGAAATTTCGTCGTCGAAGATAATCATTCCCTTCAATTCATGCCGAACACTTATTTGATATGGATGCCATCTCAAGTCTAGCCTCGTGATTCTGTTGAACGTTGCGGACGGGAGACCGAGGCCGTTTCTTCTCGCACTTACATGTGGATTGTTCTCAAGCTGCTCCC